TTTGAGGTCGCCGGTGGGAACGGTATTGTGGAGAAATTAAGGGTTTTTAGTGAGCAAATGTATCTGTTTTCATCTGTTATTGAATTGTGCGGCGTTTTTCGTTGATGGGAACCCATTTTTACTCTGAAAAGAGAGTGGGCCGATTTCTGACATTATACATTCCCGTCCTTTTAATCAAAATGGGGCATCTCCCACCTCTACACGATCCTTCTTTGCAACTTTATAGAATTTACAAGAAAAGCCCTAAATGTTCATTGTCAGCTCAAAGCTACAGAAATAAGAAATTAATGTCTTGTGCTTTTCTTGTGAATTCTATATTGCAAAGAAAGGTCGTGTAGAGGTGGGAGATGTATTTTAAACCTGGCCTTTGCTTTTAACAATCTTTCAAAGCGATCATTAAATTTAAGTGGTGACATCATCGTATATGTTTTCAGTGTCTTTTTACAATGAACGTTTTTGTATGATATGCAAGAACTTTTACTTATTTTCAACTGGACAACAGCATTTGGTGCTCTAAGCTAGCATGTTTACTTTACAACAGCTATTTGCACCCTGAGAAGACGCCCTCGAAGTTTATGTCTCACGAAAATTAGCAGCTATTTTCCTATTTGTGAGAACTTACTACCAATCTGCGGTACTGTTGCCTGAGGAGTTTTACAAAATCCAACTGTTCTTTTCCTTACTCATTACCATAGCCGCGCTTGAAAATTCGATCTTTCGGAGGATTCGAAAAACTGGCATTTAAAGAGTCCATCCAAAACAGACATTGTATTCATAAAATGCAGAGTCTAAAATAAGGCAGTATAGCATCTAATGGTAAACAGGGACTAATATGCAACGTTGTAATAATGATTGCATTTGTCTAAAAGGACGATGTCGTCTACTTAATACACGGATTTCTATATAAATGTCGAAGTCAAACATGCGCCTTTATTTGACGGTCTCACAATGTGTCATTTGTCGTGGTTTGTGGAACACCAGCTCTGAAGATTGAGTTCTGCTGGTAAACTATCATAAATGTTATGAAACTTCCGTGAAAGGCAAGCAATGCATCAGTGATGAAGCATTAGGGGAGAAATGCTCTTTACAAAATTTCCCAACGTATTAGTTAAAGATACGATCATTAACTGGTACTTACAGTGTTTCTACATTCTACCTTTTCCGATCTGTTACTTGTATAAGAAGTTTTCTGAGCGTTTACATTTAGCAGATTAAAAAAGTTAGTTTAAATCCTTGGTTACCTTTTGTTTTGTACAGAAATCTGTTTTTTGGATTATATAAGGTATCGTATGCATGCATAACTATTCTAGCGAAAATCTGTAAGACTTATACCTAATTAGTTTCTCGCAATAATGTATATTAAAATAATCACAGAAAATGGTATTATGACTCTTTAGTTCTTAAATCAAGAAATGTTCAGTTTACGTAAGTCGGCAACAATTGTGGTGCGCATTCGGCGTTACCTCTTAACTATTCCGAATATTTCAAATATTTGTTGTTGAAAGACAAATAACTCATTCATTTCTCCATTTATAGTTTGTAACGATACACTGATAACGTTTGATGATATCGCTTCAAATTCATCTGGATTGATACCATCCGGATATAAAAATTTAATATGGCTTGATACTTATTATCAAGATGTAACATCATCTCCATTTCCAACTTTCAATCAAACCGGTTTTTTAACAGCACGAGTAAGTGGTGCATATGTCGGCTATGGCGGTGCATGGTTTGCAGTATTTTCAAATTCTTCGTACACATTCACTCTTCATTCAATTGTTATTTCTGCCGTCTGGGACCACAGTTTGTCGCTGAACATAGATGGTCATGGTCCGAATTCAAGTAGAGTACCGTTTCATTCTTCACTATTAACTGCATCAAATGCATCGTTAATCACATTTTCGAACTGGACAAATTTAACCATATTGAGATTTTATTCGAACGAAAGCGGAATAATTCAACACCCCACAGTACCATCAGGATACAATTCAACTCTGTTTGCATTTGACAATCTATGTTTGAAATTGTATGTAGCTTATAGAGGCAGTTTTAATGTTTTGGCAGACGTTAGTTAACTAGCCGTTTTCTTTATTTTTTAAAGCGAGGCGGTTCGAACAACAACGTCGACATCCCAGACCGAAAGTATTACTCAAACAGCAATCATGGATGCGTCGGACAGTAAGAATTATTCTACACCGAAACATCGAGAAATTTGTTTCGAAACTCGGCTTTGATGAACCCAGGCGTAGTAATGCGTTGTTTGCCACTTTTTGTTCACCCTCTTTTATTTTAGCTATTTGTACCTTTGACTATTCAACAGTTTTCAACGATTGTTACCCTGTCAGTGATGAAATGGTTAGTTTTCATATACGTTCATTTTTAAAATTCAAAAATACTTTAGAGAGCAGTAAGTTGAAATGAAGCCATTTAAATAAATGTTGTTTAGAATATTTCTTATTCGATTCTTACGAGCGGCGATAATGTTAGTGTCAGTACCCTGGCTGATGCATTACAAGCTTATTATCGTTCACTGGCAATAGCAACATCCTTTCCATTATTATTTGTAAATGCTGATATAATGCAAAATATTATCGAAAACAGAATAAACACAGACATATTACGAAATTCAACAGAAATTTATCTTCAGTCTGTCGCGCCTGTGTCATCAAATACGTTGACTAGTGGCGCTGCCTTCTTTTCTTTTATTGGTGGTCGATCAATTACAAACATATCAGACATTGACAATCAGATTCAAAATGTATCAGTTGCATACTATTTGCCCAATACACAATTGTTGAGTAGCGTCATACGATTAAAGTCATTATTGATCGACGTAACCGCAAACTATCAGATAAACGATACGAAAACATCAATATTGGCGTCGTCAGTGATAATCATCAGCACAGATCCTCAAATAAATGCAATCGGCGTTCAACTTTTTTTCAAACTTAAATACGTCGAATATTCCAGTGTTACAGATAAAACAATTGACTCAAGAGAAACAAGGTCATTACAATGCTCTTATTGGGCTGGATCAGGGTGGAGTAGTTCAGGCTGTGGAGGAACTCCAACATTGAGATCCAATACGTCCGACAACTCATTATTATACGAATGTAACTGCACCCATTTAGCAACATTTGCACTTATTTATGTACTATCAAGTAAGAATGTAGTTTTAATACTATTTTGTTACTGACTGAAACAAATAGTTTTCTAAATGATGTTTTAAGGATGCACTAATCATTTTATTATTGTTCAGCTAATTGTACAAATGGAACCGTTTACTCGGCATTGGACAGGAACTGTTCAGAATCAAACTACTTGCTTGTACGTATACAAAATATTAGGTTACTGAAGGCAGGTTATTTCGCCTGCGATAATAAGGAAGAAGCTCTTTTTAACAAACCTTGGTTTCAGCTTTTTGAGACTTAAATTTCGACTATGATTGAACCAAAATAGAAGCTCTAGGACACAAGTAACGCTCAATCCTTCTCCTGCGAGGAAGTAAAAACAGCATTGTATACATATGGATCTGCAAAATATTGCAACAGATTTGAAGGGATCTCAAACGAGAAAATCGATTTTTTCGAAAGTCCAGTTTCGTTTTAAGCCGACTATGGAACTTCCATGCATGCTTCTGGAAACAGCTGCCAAAATGAAAGTGCCTACGATAGAAAAAAACCGTCCGAAAGTTGACACTTTTTAGTGGACGGTTTTTTCGTCACATCTTGGTATGCTTTTCTATTGTAAGCTTTTCGTGGACGAATTTTTTCTTATGCGTTTAGTCACATGAAAACACAAAATTTGAAGAGATTTTCAAATAATATTTGCCTCAGTTTAGACTGCTCTATACTTTGGAAGCCCGCCTGACTTGGCATACCGATCCACTATCACAAGAAATCAGTCGTTTTTGAGATAAGCTGGTGCAGTGGGACAATTCATCTGTGCAGTATTCACTTAAATACTATGCTTAGCACTTAACACTTCTATTTGGATTAATTTTTGGGCACTTATTTTTTGTCAACGTTTTTTTACTATGCTCTTTCGTAGACGTTTTCTAGTGGGCGCCTTTTTAGATGCTTTTTTTCTTGCGGTGCCGTTTCCTTATAGAGCGCCGTCTGTACGTTATATATCAAGAATATTTCAGTTGTGCATTTGCTAAGCAAAGGCGTTGCATAGACCTCGCGCCTTGAATAACATTGTGACATACACTGTGAAAAAATAAGTGCCCCTCGGGCGATGAATGGGACGTTTAAAATAGCCCACAATAGGGCATTTTTCTTGATGGGACACATTTTTATGCTTGAAAGTGATCGGAGGAGAGCAATCAACGTGCCGTTTTTAGCTGGCGGGGCACTTGTTTTTTGAGAATGTATTATGCGCGTACGTTCGCACATGTGCGAAACGGATTATCGCATATGATCTTGTCTATGTATAGTACTTCACATGCGCTACTTATGTCCAAAGTTCCATGTTTCTAGCATCCTTTTTAACTGAGTTATTGATTTTACAAATTCCAGTTCCAACGGGAACCGCGTTTCACGCGTTTGTGAAATTTTGATTACGAGCAGGCGACAAAATCTGAACGCAATAGAAGACCACCCTTTAGAACTCGACTTGCGGGACAAAATAAAAGACCAGGTGGTCTTCTATTATTTATTTTAGAAATCGTTTGTTTCAAAAAAGGTTTTGTCTGCGGTGTTCTGAACGTCGTCCTAAATGCTAGTTAAAGGAGAACAGCAGTGAAAGTTTTGAATAAAAGTCTTCAAGACAGGCTGAAAAATATCTCCTGCTTCTTAGATAAGTCGAATACCGACTATGTTTATGATTTAAATGATATTTTCAGTTGTTCAAAAGATCGAAAACATGAAATTTTTATTTAATCCATGTTTTTTTCATTCTTCGATTAAAATATCCTCTGAAAATTTTCCCCTCCACTTTACGACTTTAGGATTAGGGGTGTTAATTTAGTTTTATTGTTCATTTATAATAATGGATAAAAGTAAATGAATCATTTACACTTACAAAATAAAGATAAATTCGTCATTTATATTTAAAAAATAAATACAAATAAATCAAAAACAAATTTATATTTATTTAAATTTTTTTAAATTTAATAGATAAATAAATATAAATGAATCATCACTTTTATAAAATAAAGAAAAATGGATCATTTACTTTTATAAAATAAATATAAATTTTTTTTTGATTTATTTGTATTTATTTTTTAAATATAAATGACGAATTTATTTTTATTTTGTAAGTGTAAATGATTCATTTACATTTTCCAAAGTAACACTAAATTAACACCCCTATTCAGGATCCAAAAAGGTTACCATAGTACTGAGAGCTCTAATAAATAGGCGAATAAAAACTCATGCTAATTTTAGACCATGTTTTGATTTTTGTAACAGGTGCTTGATAGCTTCATATCCACCTGGAAATAAATGTTTTCAGTTAATTTTTTCAAATTTATTATATATATAGAGATATAGTTTCGAAAGGTAATTATATATTCTGGTGGTGCTTGAAATTCTCTATTGGTCTCTGCTTTTCCAGCCTGGATTCGAAATTATTTGCAAGCAAAACTTTTGAGTATTGTTAACGGCCTTCACCTGCATCACATTCCTAGGGATTGTGATGGGTGCGGTCTCTCGGTATTTTCTATTTTTCTCGTGTTTCTTTAGAACCCAAAGGTTATTGTTTTTCTTAAGAAGATGCGCCACGTAATACTTTACAAAATCAGACCTAAACTTTAATTTCAGAACCTCAATCAAGAAAACTACGCAGATTATACGCAAGACGAAAAAATGAAAACTTTGAAAATCTGGTATTTTTTCTACTTGAATCTTTTTCTTCTGCTAGTATTTCTGTAAAAAAGGGTTGCGAAAGGGAGAACTCAGTTCTTTTTTTGTACTTTTGAATGTACTCTTTTTCGTGGTCTGTAAAAAAAGAAGAGTTGGTTGAAGAAGCATGGAGTGCAATGCTGCTCAATCTACAGGAATGTGATAGGTGGGCACATTAACAATATTCGAAATATTTGTCAGCAAATAATTGCAAGTCAAGGGCGGCGAAGTACTGGATGATAAAGAATTTTCACGCTCTATCCGAATATATATTACTTTTGCAAAAAGTTATTTCTATATTCATAACACATTTGAAAAAAGACTGAAAAAGGAATAAAAAATGCAATTCGTGGAAATCTGATAACAAGAGTGCCCAGTGGCGGGGCAATAAGGGGCAATTACCCCCCGATAAAAATTTGTCCAAATATGAGAGACCTCTAGGACGCATTCTATTGGTCAGAAATGTCCTGTCGGATTCCGGGATCTCACAAACACATTATTCGAGGAGAGACAAGCACTACTTGTTCGCTTATCGTGAAGAGACACGTTCTGATGTCGACGTGTGATTACTGCACTCGTGACTTTCATTGCTATTTTCGGACCCCGCATAGTCGAGTATCTATTCTATTTCATTTTCATCCAGTCACGTCGAAAGTACGTTTCTGACCAATAGAATGCGTCCTAGAGGTCTCTCATACTCATTTTCGGATTCCTCATAGTCGATTACCTATTCCCCAAAATTTTCATAAATTTATCAGTAGACACACTATAACGTGAGGACAAAGGCCATCCTTGTGTACTTCTAATGTAAACCGATATCAGCGAACTAGAAACCAAGTATACGCTAAGTTGTTATAAAGCGGTTATTTACGGTTAACCCTTCAACCGGTTATTTGCGGTTACAGTTATGATCGGTTAACTGTTGCATGACTAGTTCAGTGCCATCTTTTAACATTCATTTTCCTGTACTTCTAATCAAACACCAATGGAAGAACATGATGATATGCGTTAAAAGTTCGGCAAAACTGCTTGAAAATGGCTCAAAATCAGATCTTCTTTCCATCGAAACATTGAAAAAAAATTATTGCTCTCTCAAGTCCTGCTAACCACATTATAATGAATATTTGTGATTCTCAACTTAGTTGATAACTTTATCGTATCCAATCGGTGGACTCATATGCACCATTGACCTGAGACTGAAGCTAAGCTTTAGGATACAACATGAAAAATGAAGAAAACAAGGCCTTATTCGGGCTCCCGATAAGGATATCTCCTGTTTCTTCAACTTGTTGGAAAAGATGGGGACCAGTGTCCTATTGAACTAAAATTTTTAATAGATATAGACAATGAAGAAGGAAACTCAACTGCTTTTGCTCAGAATTTCAATTATGATCTTCTAGAGGTTTTCTGGATGCTTCGGATTCAGCCGAGGGTGATACAGACACTGTCATAATTTCATCGGCTCGGGCTGGTTGACTTTACCATAAGTACTCAGAATGCGAATTTGTTTATTCAGAAAACATTGTTTCCCATTCGAGTTATACAAAAAATGTTGAAAGCCCTACGAAAATACAAGGATCTTATTTTGACTTTTGAACAACTGAAAAAATCGTTTAAATCATAAACATAGTCGGTATTCGACTTATCTAGGAATCTCAGCACGTCAGTTCCTGCAGCGAGTGTAAATACAGCCTTTGAAAGGAAAGGGGTTCAGTGAAGTTGGCGGGCGGCATAAAACGAATATAATATCATCACGAAATTTAACCTTAATGGAAATAGACATCATATTCGGCATCAGCGTAGAAAACTGTGTCGAATGAGGTATTCATCAGATCCAGCTGACTTTACCATAAGTACCCAGAATGCGAATTTGTTTACTCAAAAATATTGTTTCCCATTCGAGCTATACAAAGGGTCCATAGACTAATGTGAAAAGGAAAAATATTAAACGACCAATATCAAAAACCAATTAAATATTTTTTCTTCTTATGTTCCGTTCGATATTTCTCTTTATTTAAATATTTTTCCTTTATTTTAAAATAATTAAATATTTTTCTATCTGACCAAAGACTGCTTTAATGTTGACATCATCGCCAGCGTTAATATTTACTTTTTTCTGAAAAATAATTAAATATTTTTCTATCTTACAACCAGAAAAATATTTGTTAATTCAGATAGAGAAATACTTAATTGATTTTTAATATTAGTCATTTAATATTTTTCTTTTTAACATTTCCGGCACACCCATACAAAAGAATGTTGGAAGTCCTACGAAAATCCGAGGATTTTGAACTTAGCAACTAATAAAGCGAAGAGATTACACCGCAAAAACGGAAATGTTTTTGCGGAAAAAGTTGCTGATTTTAAAACCGCTACAGTTTTTTAACGAGAGGTTCTGAAGAGTTCCGACTAGTCTCGTTTTGCAGATGACACCTTACACTATACGGAGATACATCTAACTAAAAAAATGCAGTTTTTATAAAAACGAGCGGACTCCCTAAAAAAACCACTTTGAATCATTTCTTCATGTACAAAACTGACTATATTTCTGAAGATGAAATTGTTTTCGAAAAATAGCAAAGTTCTCGAAATAACAAAATAAAAATGGATTTTGATAAAACGTAAGAATGCATTTGTTACTACGTTTCAGAATCGCTCAGTATCTATAATTACAAATTGGAATAATGCAACTAGTTTACAAAAAGCAGACGCTCTCCAAGATTATTACATAACGCTAAATACAACAGAGAATAATTTGACGTCTTTTCAAGTTACCGCGAACACGCTGGATGCCATTGTAGATTCTATAAATGAGACTATTTTTCGGGACACACCAGTCATCTATCTGCAGTCAAAAAGTCCCACACTGGGTAATGATTTATTGCTTATCGGAGCAGGATTCTATACAAACGAAGGCGGCCGAGACGTAACAAATACAAGACACACTTCCTCACAAATTCATGGTATATCAGCAGCAGTCATTGTAACAGATACTGATCGTTTAAAATATGTTTCATTACTCAAATTTTTGTTGATCGATCAGCCTGCGAACTACTTACAACATAATACAAATGTGACACAACTATCATCTTCCGTTATTATCGTCAGCACTTACCCAGAAATGCACGATATAGGCGTTTCCCTTTATTTTACAATTAAATATAATGCGACTGTATTTAATTCAAGCCAAAAATACTCCTTACAATGCACGTTTTGGAATGGCACAACAGGATGGGTAATCGCCGATAAAACTGGGTGTCAACGAGCGCCAACACGACGAGATGATATCACTCCAGGAATGACTGTCTATCAATGCAACTGTAATCATTTTACAACATTTGCGCTTATCTGGTTACCGGCTAATGAAATAAGTAGGTAAAAACAATTTTCAAACTGATTTTAGGTATCATTGACATGTTTTAGATCATGATAATACTGAAACTATTGTTTATACGGCATCTGATTACATATCCATTGCATTCCAATCTTTTTCCATTGTTGCATTTGTATACATTATCCTTCATGCATCTATAACGAAGATTTATTGTGCGGACACTCGTATTGTTGTCTCCGATATGTTACCATTAATATCGTGCGGAGCTACTTGCCTATTATTCATATTCTATCTTGCACTATTATTAACCGTTTATCTGAATCCAGCTACGTCAACTGTTTGTGACACAAAGTCTTTGACTCTCATGTATATCACTTATTTCTTAATTATATTTGCATTTTGTTGCAAAACATCATTAGGCTACTTTAATTATTTACGTTTCGCTCAAGCAACGCCACCTCGTTGGAAACGCCTATTCATTCTATTGGGATTATCATTTTTCATTGGAGTCGCAGCTTTGAGTCTTTTAGCAGGATTCAATTCAAATCAAAAATATCAGATTAGTCATTTATACCGACAGCAAATATGCTGGTTTACACCGACTGTTATCTATTGGTACATGACAATACCAATATCCATACTGATTTTAATTAATTTGACTCTAATTGTAGTCATGGCCAGACGACTATTCTGCTTTATCCGAGCTGCTGGAAAAGATAATGATAAACGAAAAGAACGTCGAAAACGTGTTGTTCTCGTTCTGATCACAGCCTCTGTCACTCAGAGTCTTGCATGGATATTTGGTGAGTAAACTCTCCTCGGAATAGTCTACCATGGGCGCTAGTCTATGAACTTGCAGTGACGGCTCAGATCGACAGATCAGAATAATTAGAGGATTTTGGGTAAAAGATATTTGAAATTTTATTATAAGATTTCAAGTTAGCAAGTGTTAACTCCTGATTAGTATCGTAAATACAAATTTTGAACAACAAAACTCCACTTTTTAAAGGACGGCAGCGGATAAGCATCAGACTTTTCCTTTAACTAATCGTACCAAAAGACTTTTATTCTGAATCAGCGTCAAATTCTGAACAAAACTGTCGATTCGGTTTTTCGGAATACTGATCTTGGCTTTTCTCGAAAATTTTGGGCCCTGAAGAACACGGGAAAACGTTTTTCTCAAAATTGAACAAAAGATACACCATTCGAAGCGAAATTGTGTGCTGAGTCCGAATCATGGATCAAAAGCCGGAAAAAAACAAGTCTTGGCTGATAAAAACGACTTTTACTAACAAATGGTCAAAATTGGTCAGCACGCTTTTGGGCCTTCCCTGACCTCAGCCAAGCGACTTAGAGCCTTCAAAGTTAGTGTTTTGAAACCGCCACAATATCAACTTTCAGACGGTTTTTCGTGGTTTTTTTCCACATTTCTGACTTATTCTTCCGTGAAAACTACATTTTTTCCAACATCTCGACATACCATCTGAAAGCCGGTTCTCTCCAAAAGTTTTCTGAACTCGAACAGGTCCGGAAAAAAAATCGTCGATAACATAGAATGGATCCCAAAAACTGTTCAGCCTCTTAAAAATTTCTCACTAAACTTAGCTATATTGAATCTTACTGAAACAATTCGATAAAAGCTAGTTATTTCTAGTAACTGACCCTCATTGTTGATACCCGAGCAACCAGGAATATAAAAACTGTCTTCAAAACGGGTATTTAGGTCCTTTCCTGATCATTTCTGCAAGAGCGGCGTTAGCTATAGAATGGATATTCATCGTGTGCAATGGACTTGAAGGCGTATGGGCAATTTTGCTCTATCTGCTTGTTCGCCGAACAAGTACAAAGGCATCCATGAAACGACCAACGATCGACTTGCCATCGGACGTACCAAGAAAGATATCAACGAAACTAGCGAATGTTGATGATCGGTTTATGTATTTGAAAATGGCTGCATCTGTTGATACTTTTTGTACGACAAGTTCGGATTTGGGAAAGGAAGCGGCTAATTCAGTCGCGAAACCGATATTAGATTTCGACTCGACGACGAATGATCTAGTGAGCATGTCACGACTGGATTTTGATACGTCTATTCCTTATTTGGAAATCGGTACAGTTCAACGTTTGACACTTGAAGATCTTTTGACACCGATCACTATTGACCGTTTAAAACTCGATGATTTATCGTCACGAACAAAGGCAGGCAAATATGACGAGAACTCGCTGAGATCATCGTTTGTCGACGACGTTTATTTGCTCAATGAAACTAGTATTTAGGCCGGAATCGGAGAACTTTTTGGATTTGAAGTTTTCTTTATTGAAAACTTTTCAATCAAATAGTTCTGATTTTGCACTGAAAGAATGCATTCGATAAATAGCACTTCGAGCTGTTCTATCCATGCGTATTGAATTTTAGTAAAGGACCGAGTCAATTTTAAGCAAAATCTGCCGCTGTTCCGGTGTTTCTATGTTACTTTCAATTGGAGTTTGTAGAGAAAATGTTTTTAAAAAGTTTTTTAGATTATTTTAATATAAACGCTAGTGAATGTACTTGCATGCAGGTAATTGATGAAGTATCCTCGCAAGTTTAGTCCATCGTTCTTACGCTTCTTCGCAAGTAAAGCAAGTACTTGCCAAGAAGATCAAGTATTTGAATTATTTTATCCTTTTGTCCAGTCCTTTGTCAAGCACTTGTCTAAGTAACCTCCAAGTACCTGTAGGATGTTCAACAAGTAAATCAAGTACCTAGCAAGTGCCTTCAGGCATTTATCAAGTAGTATTATTTGAAGATATTTGTGAAGTGCTTGCAAAGTATCCGTGGAAATTTGCAAGTAACCAAGTACCCACTCACAAGTACATTCACTAGGAAATATAGCATAAATTGTTCCATTGTCAAGTTTTTCTAACGCCGGAACGTTTAGCTGTTTAAAATAATAATTGTACGGATAAAAATATATTAAAAATTCTATTTTATTACTAAGAAAATGTTTCTACACATTTCTTGGTATAGCCGAGCCTTAGAAACGTTCTAGAAAGTTTTTTATTATGATTCTTGTGACGGTATGTCAAATGCATTAAGGTTTCTGAAGATATGATTTTTTCCAAAATCTAAACTAGGCTTTAGGATAAAGTTTGGTACAGAAAAATAGACAATGAAAAACTGTACAAAGTGGTATACGACTCGTCCTTAGTAAACAGTTGAGCATAGAGAAAAAAGTTTTTTTTGATCAATCGGTATTCGGAGTTGAAGCCGGTATAACAGTTTCGGTCCTTTGATGCTGCAGTTGTCTGCATCAACAGGTCCGTTGATGCTGTTAAAGAGCTATGATAAAACTCTTTTAAACAGCACAGTAAATTAGAAATTTGTTTATTTTTTGTACAAGTACATGAAGACACTAAGCTCGGCCAACAGTCGTTCTGTAATCGAAAAAATTCATGTGCATAACCAGCTCGATGTGCTCTATTATCCAGCGATATCAGAAAATTGATTTCGAAAAATAGTTTGTCATATTGGAAACTCGATTTTACAGAAAACCACTCGAGAAGGCCTAGCAGTCCAAATGAGTATCATATTCGGATTCAGCACCCTTGACTACCTATAGTCCACTTTTAATCTCATCGCAAAAGCGATTTGCAACCAAAGACAATCTCTTTGTAAGTTAGGAAGTAGGGATAATAATATTCGTCCTCTGAGTAGTGTACATCACCCTTGAAAATATCCAACATGTGATAGATTGGGAATTATTCTTTTTTTCATATTCTTGATGAAGGAAACAAAAAGAGGCTTTGCTACTTTTAATTTGGTTTCATTTCTGTCTTAAAGGAAGAAGAACAAAGCGGTTTACTTTTTCTTTCTTTTTGAGAATAATAAAGTACACATTTAAATAACAGACAAAATTCTTTACTGTGCTTAGAAACCATGAGTAATGAGAAAACATTTGACATTACAGGCAAAAATTATGTTTTAAAGCAAAGCTAAACAGTAAAAACAGATGCTCGGGATCAGAGTCAATAAGACAACTGACATATCTACATCTGAGAATCATTGTAAGAGAAATGCGACTAGCTGCTGAATAACCATGCTTAGTGGCTTTCTCTAGTCTTTAGTTATGAAAGAATGAGATTAGTTTGTAACGTAGCTTTTTTTTGTAGTTGTAAAACGCCAAATCTTGACATTTACGCCTTTTTGGGTTTTAAGGATCCAGTAACACTAAACTTTTGCCTATATGAACCAGTGGTGAACATTGAACTTTTTATAGAATATATAGTAAAATGTTAGGGCTTTCTCATAGTACTGCTAAAAGAATTTCAGAATGTTTTGGAGATTTTGAGGAGGATTTCTAAAAATCCGATTTGGGCCTTTTTTGCAGATAAATTTCAGACAGATAAATTTTCAGCATTTTCGTTGCTAAAAGCAACGTTAAAGTTCTGTTTAACTTGTTTATACTCACAGTATTTTTAAAAATAGATTTGTAGTAGGGTGAGAAACTATATGAATGAGAAGATCCATCTACAGTGTGATTGGTCTGACCTGTAATAATTGTAGACTTTTCTTCGTTAGATTTTATTTAATGCCAAATCGAATGTTCGAATGTTTTTCATACAGAGCTGATGAAACAACAAAAAATTGTATAATGCGACTTCTTATTCACCACGCAGTGTTTTCGTTGAAAAAGCAGATTTCGAACATTCGTTTCGAAATGAAAAAACGATTATTTTACGCGATAGTGTAAATCATTTTCGTATATGGAATACTGAAACAAATGTTCAGCCTCAAATAAAACTGGGCTGTGCCGATATCCACAATTTGAAAGTGGATCAATTTGTTAAATGCAAACCAAGCACTTTCCACACTAATTTCAGAAAAGATGTTCATCACACCGTGTGACAAGAATACATGCATTTACTCATATTATTTTCATCACAATATAATTACAACAAAAAACGCAACCTTTTATAGCATATACTTAAATTGCATTAAACAACCAATGGACAGTTATTGCATAGAGTAGGAAAAGAGAAATATAAAAAAATCACCAGTATTGACTATGGTTTAACTACTATTGATTAAAATTAATGTCTGTTTCAGCAATTTCTCTTGCACATTGTCGACATCGGATTGCAACTAAATCAAATAAATGATGCACTTGGTCAAGCAAATATGTTAGATTACAATCTAACGTAGTAGATGGAGAATTTTCTGACTAAAATGCGGTTCAAAATTATAGAATCAGCTCGATCTTTCATCTTGCCATTCATCATTCTCTCTTATTGTAAGATCTTATCAAAAATAAATCATGTAAACATATGTATGTGAGTGTGCTCTATTCGAATATTTAGCTTGAATTTCCTTGGCTTGTTTTATTCTTAAAGGAAAATCTTTTTTGTAAAAATTTGCAGTTTTTTGCGGTGGAAAATTGTAGAATCACCCGGTGTTGTTCATTGTGATTTGAGTTTCATGATATTTCGCATATGTCAGTAGAAAGAGCGTAAAAGATTGAGCAGATTCCATCTGTTTTTAGTCATACCATGTTAGAGGAACGATGGTCTCTCAAAACACATTTCTGGCGGATTTATAAAAACTCTACGAAAGATCTATGAAAACTCGGTTAAAAACCAAAGACAAAATTTGATCTTCTTGCTATTCTTACTGAACAGAGTTAGATCTACAAAGTGAGACGTCGTAGAGTTCTACATATCAAATAATGACACAGTTACGTATAGATACAAAACAAATATTCAAATATCAGCTTTTCTCTCATTGACAAATTGTCTAAATTCTAGTGAACTTTGAGAATTCCTCTAGGTTTAGAACGTTGTCCAAACCACTAGTGGAAATTGGACAATTTGTCTAAACCCCTCTGGAATTTGGACAGTAAATTTATTGCACCGTATAACATTTGAAGATTATGTTACGATTGGATCTTAATATCACTCAGTTGTAATCTTTAGAATAAGTGTCCTCCTTCTGTCTATTACTTTTCTTCACCATGAACACGAGCTGTTACGCGTGACCTTCTTTTTGATTTTGTTAGGTTATATAATCATTCTACATATATTGAAGCGGAACAAAATAAAAAAGATTACTTTTACTTTTCAGATCAGTTGAATATGAAGTAAAAGATAGTTCTTATTTGGACATCAGAGATTCTTTGTTTTTTACTTATAATGGACTTCAGACAATAACTTCCAGTGTCAAAAATCCGCCTAGCCAAATCCCGACTGTCCGAAAGGGAATTTACCGAATCTAGTCAATTTTTTACGCTCTTTCCACTGACATATGTGAAATATCATGAAACTCAAATCACAATGAACAACACCGGGTGATTCTATAATTTTCCACCGCATAAAACTGCAAATTTTTACAAAAAAGATTTTCCTTTAAGAATAAAACAAGCTAAGGAAATTCAAGCTAAATATTCGAATAGAGCACACTCAGATGCATATGTTTACATGATTTATTTTTGATAAGATGTTGTAGTAAGAGAAAAGTTTTTTTGTGAAAACTGGCCGTTTTTGCTGTGAAAAATTGTAGAATCATCTTGTGCTGTTCATTCTGATTTGAGTTTCATGAAATTTCATATCAATCATTGAAAAGAGCATAAAAATTTTAATAGGTTCTATGTGTTTTTAATCACACCATGTTATAATAAGAGAGAAAGATGATTGATAAGATGAAAGATCGAAGTGATTCTATAATTTTGAACAGCACTGCATAGTCAAAGTTTATTGAATATCTTACTTGTTGATTGATAATCGTTATCAAGCTTTTGCATTATTTTTGTCACTTTCTGTTGCCAATATTCTTCAGCCACACGACATTCACGTTGCCAGTTGTCTTTCGTAATATTAGATACTGAAAAATGAAATAATATGTACTGAGCGTCTACTGTGTAAATTTCGCTCTATACCTGCTTCTTGAGGATGTGCTAAAAAACAGAAGGTTGATAGAGTATTATTAATATAATGTGTTCTTTTAACTTACTGTGATGATATAGTTTTCGCCCATAGCGTTCAAATGGCCAAAGTAGTAGATTGAATGGTAGTGGTAATATGTGTTTACCAGTGTATTCTTCAATTAATAAATATCGATGATAGCACCATTGTTCACGGGAACTATTTTTCACTCGTTCTATTGTTGTACTAAAAACAACAATGATGTCATAAACTAATTTTTACGTTCTATGTTTTCTTTACTTGAAAAGAGCGATTAAGTTGTTTAGCAATAGGATGTATGCAATAACAACAAATACAATTGTCAAAAAAAGCGTCACAGTGCCATATGTGTCATTTGTAGCTAATGGAA